GGTTTCCATACCTAGGAACTATTGCTAATTAGTGTGTGCCACTAATAATAAAATTCATTGACATTCATTGTATTTACTAATGCTAAGTAATTATCACTGCTTTTAATATTTTTTCATCAAATAGAGATTCAGTACTTGGGGGTTGAGAGATGGCTCATTAGTTAAAAGTGCCTGGTGCCAGAGTCCAATTCCCAACAACCATGGGGGGTGGCTTACAACTGTATATAAATCCAGCTCTACACACTCTCCTGGCTCTCTCCACACTCTACAGTGATCACACACACACACACTCCTAAAAATAAAATTAAAAAACCTTGTCCTCATTAAGCATTAATAAAAAAAATTAAGTTAGCATACAAAGTAATGGGTTTCATTGTAGCATTTTTATATGTATTTTTCCCCTCAGGTACACTCTCTCTTTTTATTATATTTTAAAGATTTATTTATTTTAGTTATGTGTATAAGTGGTTTACCTACATGTATGACTGTGCATCAAATGTATGCTGGTGCCCACAGATATCAAGAGGGCACTGAAACCTCTGGAACTGAAGGATGATTGAGAGAAGCAAGGGCTCTTAATTGCTGAGCCACCTCTCCAATTCCTAATATAGCATTTTAAAGGGCTATCTATATTCAGCACTTACTGGAAAAAACTCTATCAAATGTCATGTCCTGGTCATATTCTACTGTGTACATACATCATATTTTGCTCATTCATTCATTCATTCATTCATTCATCTATTGAAGAATAACGGGTTGTTGTCCTACTTTTAATTATTGTGAGAATGCTGTTAACAATGACGCTCAATGGGCTGGAGAGATGGCTCAGTGGTTAAGAGCACTGGCTGCTCTTCCAGAGGTCCTGAGTTCAATTTCCAGCAACCACACGGTGGCTCAAAACCATCAGTAATGAGATCTGGTGCTCTCATCTGCTATGCAAGCATACATGCAGGCAAAACACTGTATAATAAATAAATAAATAAACAAACAAAAAAAACCAGTGATGTTCAAGTGTCTTGATTATTCTCATTTCTTTTTGGTATTTACGTAGATACAGAATTAGAAGAGAGTCATTAAGATCATTCTTATTTTAATTATTTCTCTGCCAATTTATTGCACATAGCAGCTAACAACTTTACATTTCTGCCACCAATTTCTTTACATCCTGGAAGTCACTTATTTTCCATTACATTGCTATCATCATCATTAATATTAGTAAAACCAACATTTTTATTGGTTTTCTCAGATAAGGTCTCACTCTGTAGCTCAGACAGTCTCAAGCTCATGGCAATATTCCTGCCCTAGGTTCTTGTGCACCACCATGCCTGACCTATTATCAATTTATTAATAATCATCCTAGTGTCATTAAGAAGGGATACCTCTTTATGGTTTGGATCTGCATTCCCCTAGCAACTAATTATGTTGCTCACCTTCTCATATACTTATTGACCATTTATGTATTTTCTTTGGATAAACACCTATTCAGATACCCCTACACAACACACTCTTCCTATGCTTTTGAACCTAAGACATTGCACATTCCAGGCATGTGTGCTATCACTGAGTGAAATCCCCCGCTGACTTTTTTTGGAGGGGGGGCAAGGGGAGTTTCGAGACAGGATTTCTTTGTGTATCCCTGGCTGTCCTGGAACTTGCCCTGTAAACCAGGCTGGCTTCGAACTCATGATATTCACCTGCTTCTGCCTCCCAAGTGTTGGGATTAAATGTGTGTGCCTCCAATGCTCGGCATTTGGATAGTTTTCAAACCTCATCACCTGCTCTGCAGGTGATCTTCCAGTCTCTTGGCGGTATCCATTGAGTGGCATATAATATATGACTTTAAATCTTTTCTTCTCTGTACTTTTGTTATAAAATATAAGAAATCACTGCCAAATTCAGCAGCATGAAGCTTTTCTTTTTATTCTTTGTGGTAATATTCTGTTTGTGCTTTAATAAATAGAGCTTGCCTGAAGATCAGAGTGTGGAACTAGTCACACTAGTTAGTCATAGAGGTCAGACAGTGGTGGCTCACACCTTTATTCTCTGCACTTGGGAAATAGAGGCAGATGAATCTCTGTGAGTTCAAAGCTACCCTGGGCTTCATGAGATTGAATCAGTCTAAGAGAGAAACAGCCAAGTGGTGGTGGCTCACATCTTTAATCCCAGCACTAGGGAATTGGAGACAGGAAGTGATACCGTTGGGCAGAGAGAGGGATATAATGTGGGAAGAGACAGGAGCTCAGAATTCAGTCTGAGGACTTGTAGAGACAGGAAATCCCATTCAGTCTGAGGATTTTGTAGAGGTAAGAACTATTGGCTGGCTGCTCTGCTTGTCTGATCTTTCAGCTTTTACCCCCTAATATCAGACTCCGGACTTTTATTATTAAGACCAATTAGGATTTGTGCTACATCTCTTAGCTCAGCTTTAGGTTTCTGATATTTTTTAGTCAATTCTCACACATGATAAAGTAAAGGCTTAATTTCATCCTTTCAAATGTGGGAATCCAAATATGCAACAGCATTTAATGAAAAGGCTCTCTTGTAAACACCGAGGAAAACAGGCACCAATTAAAAAACAAAACAAAACTAGATATTAGCTGGGCATTGTGGCACATGCCTTTAAATGTAGTAGAAACAGGCACGCTGTGAGTTCTAGGCCAGCCGAGTGTCACACAGTGAGAGCTTGTGTCAACAGTAACAACAAACCACACAAAACCCACCAAAAGGAAAAACAAAGCCACAGTTGATATGTACTAGATTTTTATAAGACAAAAGACAGTTCTGACGAGGAAAAGAAAACACACATTAGATAAACCCCGTACTGTGGGTAAAGCATGGTGCTGATTGATGGCTGTGAGGAAACACTGAAGGCAATGTCTGTTTTCTTCAGGAGCCACTTGGTATCTAGCACGAACCTGGCTGAAGCAGCACTTCAGACGACGCACACAAGAAGAAGCTGAACAAGGCCAGGACTGCCAACCCCGATGGAAGCTTTGTGTTTGGCATTAGTATTGATCTAGCCACATAAATAACTTTTAAAGGACAAAATTAAATAGGGGCTGGGTGGTGGTGGCGGCGCACGCCTTTAATCCCAGAACTTGTGAGGCAGAGGCAGGTGAATATGTGAGTTGGAGGCCAGCCTCAGCCAGGGAGGGCTGTTACACAGAGAAACCCTGTTTTGAGGGGGAAAAAAAAAGAAAAAAAAAAAAGAAAGAAAGAAAAAAAAGAGCAAGCAAGGAAGAAATTGTATAGGTAGCCTCCTTTCTTCCTTCTTTCCTTCTTCTTTTTTCAAGACAGGTTCTCTGTCTGTTCTGGAACTAGCTCTTGTCGACCAGGCTGGCCTTGAACTCACAGAGATTCCTCTGCCTCCTGAGTTCTGGAATTAAAGGCCTGCACCACCACTGCCCAGCTGGTAGCCTCCTTTTTAGCATGTTCCAAATGTCTTCTGTTATTCTAATAATAATTTTCATAATAATCTCCTCAAATCTATAAAACATACAACTAGCATAATGAATCTGTATCTAATGTTTATAAACGCGCAACAGGAAGCATGACAGCTCTTCCTGCCTTTCACAGTCAACAGACTTAACAAATAGCATTTCCTTTAGAGTTTCTTCAAAGCACAACATGATTGCTGGGCTGAGGATGCAGTTTAGTGGAAGAACACTTGCTTTTAGCAAGTGCCAGGCTCAGTGTTCGATCTGTAGAATCACCAGTGGAAAAAGGCACTATCATGTGACTTTTAAAACTCTCTCTTCTACAGCTGGACAAAGGTTTAGTGGTTGAATGCTTGCACTTCTTTCCTAGAGGATCTGGGTTCAATTCCCGGAACCTACATGGTGACTCCCAACTTCAGTTCTGGGGTTCTAATGCTCTCGTTTAAACTCCACTGGTACCAGGTACACAAATGGTTATACATCATACTTGCAGGAAAAATACTTACTCACATAAACATATACATACACCCCAGAACCAAAAAACTTGCTTCTAAGTTATGGTGCCAATGCCTGCTTTAATGAATTAGAATTTTAATTTAATTTGTTTGTTTTCTTGAGACAGGGTTTCTCTTTCTCTGTGTGAGAGCTCTAGCTATCCTGGAACCGGCCTTGTAGACCAGGTTGGCCTCAAACTCAGAGATCCACTTGCCTGTTCCACCCAAATTCTGGGATTAAAAGTAAAATTAAGAATTTTTAAAAACTTTATTTGCTTATTTATATGTGTGTGTGCTCATGTATGCACACCCATATGCTCATGTGTACATGCTTGTGTGTCCGTGCAAACGGATGCCATGGTATGGGTGTGGTCAGGGGCAGAGAACAATGTATGGCAGTGGCTCTCTCCTTCCACCACGGAGGTCCCAGGGACTGACTCAATACATTAGGCTGGGCAGCAGACACCTTTGCCCAGTGAACGATCTCACTGACTCCTGAGGTAAAATCTGTATCTGATCTTTTCTATATGCCTTTATTTCCTAAGAACCTTTGAGGAAAAGAAAAGTTAAGGGAATATAAACATAATGAAGAGTTTAAATTACACATGCACTAAAAGGAAATTTAAGTAAAACAGCAAGAGAATGAGTAGGACAACTGAGAAATAGGATTACTACGTAACTACGTAGTCTGAAATCAACACAGCAAGGAAGCTTGGTTTATACAAAGAATGGTGGATATTTTCACTAACAATGCTGAAAATGAAATAAATTCTCTAAGAACAAACACCGTGTTTATTTAATCTATTTGTGAAATACATGACTGCTTTTTTTTGTTTCTGCAGTCTAGTTTGACTGGGAACTTACAATCCTTCTGCTTAAGCTTCGAAAGTACCAAGATTACAGGCACGGGACACCATGTGCAGCCTTGTAACTACTTAAGGAGTCTTTGCCTTGGAAGTATGCAGCAAGTGGCCTCACAAATTCTTCACTGAGTCATATTCTTAAAAGGTTTGACATAGCATCAAGGTGGCAAGATTAGTTTAGTCAAATATGAAAACGCAGGTCTTACCCACATGCAGGCTTCAACTCTAACTTTTGAGATGATACTCCACAAAGAAACAGTTCCTTCAGTGCCTTCTTCATCTGGACAGATAATCTGCTCAGGGTACGGTGGCTCAGGGAAATTAACTGAATTGCATTCATAAGCAGCTAATGTAACTGAAGCGATATGTGGGCCCTAGAAAACAAATGTAAGAAACCTTTGATGAGAAATACTAATGAAAAAGGAATTCTGATGCATGCTATTTCAACATCACATTAATCACTATGAAATACAAGGAAAACAGTGTTTTCAGAGAACAAGATTCTGCATAAACACACATTCTAAGATGCAGTTAGTAATTGGGTAAAAGAATCTCTCCCAACCCAGCTCTAGGCAACCTATCTAATTTTTCACTTGATTTATATATTATTTATCCAGAATTACTTGTCAAAATGTTATCCCTGGGGGGCTGGAGAGATGGCTCAGAGGTTAAGAGCATTGCCTGCTCTTCCAAAGGTCCTGAGTTCAATTCCCAGCAACCACATGGTGGCTCACAACCATCTGTAATGGGGTCTGGTGCCCTCTTCTGGTATACAGGTATACACACAGACAGAATATTGTATACATAATAAAATAAAAAAATAAAACTTCCTTAAAAAAAAAAAAAGAAACCCTGTCTCAAAAAGGTTATCCCTGTAATAAAATTTTATGCACAATTTGAGAATACCTACCCTTTCCAGTGAGTTCCTAAAAAAGATGAAACATGTAACCACTTATCAATAAGTTGTACTTTTAAAAGTATTTTCCTATAGCAACTCTAACTCCAGCTACGGTGGATCTGATGCCCTCTCCAGTCTTCTATAGGTACTTGCACGCCTATATGCACGTGCACATGAGCACACACATGCACATATACACAATTACAAATAAAACAATTTAGAAAATCAACTGTAGGATTCGTAAAAATAGGGGGCTGGTGAGATAGCTCATGAATGTACTTGTTGTGCAGACCCAACGCAGTCCTCTGACTTGGTCTTTGTCTCTCTCTTCCTCCCTTCCTCCCTCCCTCCCTCCCACATTAATAATAAATAAAATAAATACAAGAATTGGCAAAACTGTAAATTCCCACATGTCCTAAGCATAGATTTGGTGGTTGTCTGTTAGTATATAATATATAGTAGTCATTATCTGTTTAAAGAAAAATACTTTCATTGAACAGGATTATATACACATGACATTTTGTACTGACCATATTGTGTGACTATTTCTGAATGTGAAGGTTTCTAGCAAAGATTTTTCCACTGACTTTTCATAAGTGATTCAGACCTAAAAAAGGTAATCATTATGTATCAAAGCCCTTTAAGGTCAGAGAATAAATGAATTTGTGGTTTAAAAAGTCAGCTATATAAGATGTATTGATGAAAATGAAGCATTTCAGGGGCTGACAGAATGGTTCAGAGGGTAAGGACACTTGTCATCAATTCTGATGTCTTGCGTTCCACTGCCAGAACCTACATGCTAGAAGGAAAGTGACACCTACTAGCTGTCTGAGATAGCCACGTGCACACTGATACGCGCGCTTGTAAACAAGCTAAAGTTCTTAAGAGAAAATAAATTATTACAGAAGTCCTACTTATTACAAAGATAACAAATTATTCACTTATTAAGAATTACTCATCTTTTTTCTTTTTTAATGCACACGAGTATATTGCCTGCATGCATCGGTATGTGTCTGGTGCATGAGAAGGCCAGAAGAGGGAGATGGATCCCCTGGAACTGAGGTTACCTCCTGGTTACCTCCTGGTTGTGAGGTACCATGGGGGAGCTGTCAAACAAATCTGGTCCTCTGCAAAAGTAGCAAGTGCTGCTAACCGCTAAGTTATTCTCCAGACCCCAAGATTTATTTCTATTACTTTTAATTATTTGTACTTGTGTGTGAGTATTAGCACATGAATGCAGGTGCCCAGAGAGGCCAGAGGCAAGGGACTGTCCTGGAACTGTGTGCCACCTGATGCGTGTGCGAGAAACCAAGCTCTGGAAGCACAGCAGACACTCTCCAACACCTCTCCCACCACTCCTTCCATGTTTACTCACTTGCTTGTTTTTTATACGTTGGTTTTTAAGAAAGATGTTTAAAATTCTACTTGACCTTTTTACTTTTTAGTCTTTGCTTCTTATTTTTTTCTTGGATTTTAATTCTTGGAAATTCTTATATAACAATATTCAAAATTTAAAATGTTGATGGTTTTAAAGACAATATATTTTTTTTTGTTTGGTTTTTTGAAGACAGTATATCTCACTATGTAGCCCTGGCTAACCTCAAAATCACAGATACACTTACCTGCCTCTGCCTCCCAAGTGCTGGGATTAAAGGCCTGTGCCACAACCCATGGCTAAAAAAAAATAATATTTTTATTTTGCCCCTTTATTTTAAAAATTTATTTATTCTTTGGCAATTCCAGACATGAATACAATATTCCGATTATATCAACATCCCAGAAGTCTTCTTAGGGACCCTCAATTAGGTTTTTAAAAATCATGCTTAACCATAAAAACAAAAACTTGGGTTTTTGTTGTTCTTTAAAAAAACATTAAATTTAGAAAATAGATTCCACAGTTGGAAGAAAAAGGATTATTTTCTGATCCTACCAAAAAGAAAACAAACATAACAAAATTTTGAATTAAAAGTTTAGATAGCCTTAACTCCAGAGTAACAACACAATGACATCTAGCAAATCCACTATAAAAACAGTAACTACAATCAGGCAGAGAGCTTCACCCTGAATTCTAGGGCAGCCCAGGATACATAGTGAGATCTAGTTTCAGAAACAGATTTTTTGTTTTGTTTTGTTTTGTTTTGTTTATTTATTTATTTATTTATTGTTTTTTGAGACAGGGTTTCTCTATGTAGTCCTGGCTGTACTGGAACTGACTCTGTAGACCAGGCTGGCCTTGAGCTCACAGAGATCTCCCGAGTGCTGGATTAAAGGCGTGCGCAACCACTGCCAAGTCAAAAACAACACTTATAACATAAGAAATCACAAGAGACATATGATGGCAGTAATTAAAAAGGAAGAAAATGCAAAAGGTGACTGTTTTTTCCTTTGGCTACAAATACAGCTGGACTTTTTATTTTTAAGGGGTGATGGGCGAGTGTAAATCAGAAAATAAGGCACCAATGGTTTAGAAGTGGTCCAGCTTCCCAACACCTGGGAGGCAGAGGCAGGCAGATCTTTGTGAGTTCGAGGTCAACCTGGTCTATAAGAGCTAGTTCCAGGACAGGCTCAGAAAACTACAGAGAAACCTGTCTCGAAAAAGGAAAAAAAAAAAAAAGTAAATTCTCACCAATTTCAGACTTTTCCCTAAAGGTGACTTCCAGGCTGAGGTATAGGAAAGTTGCTAAAGGTCTGCCGAGAAGGCACAAGGCCCTGGGCTCCGTCTCTACCATAGAGCAGGTGTGGTGACTCACAAGACTGCAATCCAGCACTCAGAAGGTGTAGGACAAAGGACAAAAGGTTTGTTTATTCCCAGTTACCTAGCAAGCTCTGCAACAATAGCCAGGCACAGTCTACTAAGGAGTTTCAGACCAGCTGGGGTCACATAGTGAGACCCTTTTTGTTCATTCATTCAACAGTGGTTCATACTTCCCATAGCCATTCTATTAAGTCATGATTACTCAGTTAAGAGGCAGATGTGGTGGTTTCCGGACAAAATGAAAGCTACAGCTTGGCTAACAACTCTATCCTCGCCTTCGTTCATTTTCACAGGTCTTTTGTAGCCTACACCTCGACATTTTAGGTTAGACGGCGTTTACTGAGAGGAAACCTTACACTTCTCAACTTTATACTTAATCGTTGCTAACATAACTAACTGGAATGAAGTTTACAACAAACAAGCAAGAACAAATGTGTTCTGAATACAATACTTCAGAAAATTACATATGTTCAAGTCACTCATGCTCTCTTTATAGAGCTGGGACTGAACTAGGGGGTCTCACACATGCGATGCAGGTGCTCTATCACTTATCCTTCTAGAATCCCTGGACCCGAAACCATCTTTTAAGCATAATTTTTAAAAAGTGCAGACCTTGAGGGAGGGGAAACTGTGGTCTGTATGTAAAATTAATTAAAAAAATATTTAAAAAAGTGCAACCCTCACCAATGTATTACATGAAAGTCATACTTTAGCTATATCAAAGAAATAAGTGAGCCAGACTAGAAATTATAGCACAAGAAAGGATTAACTAGATATAACCAGTATAAAATACAAAATAGGTCAATAGAAAGTACCCAACCTAAAGGATGTAGAGAGAAAGCACAGGGAAACAAACACTCAGTGGCCTGTGGGATAAAAATCAATCAGTATAATACACATATGGGAGATAATGGGTTTCAGAAAAGCACTAAAAGAAATAATGGTCAAATATTTTACAGATTTTATGAAAAACAACAACCCATGAAAACAAAGATCTAGGGAATAAAACAAACCTAAGTGAGAATCAATGGAAAGAAAGCGAAACAAGATGACGGAAAGAAAAGTGTAACAGTCAAAATGGCAGGCTCAGCCACCGGGAAAGCCTTCGAGACCAGGAGGGGAGACGGGGCCAGACTACAAGCAGATAATGGGAACGAAAGACAACAGAATTTACTTTTGTAAGATGCTGAAAGAACAAAGGAAAATACATGTAAGCTAGAATCCATGGAAAACATACTTCAAAAATAACATGTGATGTGGAGAACACTGGTAACACAGATCTTCCTCTTTATTGACTCTTTCATAAGATAAGGAGCTGTTTGAAGTGAAGGCTGGGCTGGTGTACAGCTCAGCTTACAGCACTTGCTCTGCATGGATGAATTCCTAGGGTGAATTTCTAACACAGGAAGGAGAAAAGTGTGGGATTACAGCAGCCTTTGGGGCCACGACCTCAGCAGAGGGAAAAGGGAGATAAGAAAAGCACACAGAGAAGAGAAGTGGAGAGCACAGCTCAGGTTATCACACCACACAGTTTAAGGTGCATCACCCGTCACAAACCTCACAGCAATCACTACAATTTTCTTTAAAGCTATGGTAAGTAGGCCAATAAGTAAGATGCTACTACCAATGTCAAGGAGACAAGTGGGGAAGAACAAAAGCTGACAAACCCTGAGAGCACTGTACCTAACTTCATCCAATCAGCTTGAGAACTGCATTAGTTGGAAATAGACCAAATCCACAAGTAAAAAAGGTAAGGATTCTTAGACTTGATTAGTTAATCCCTCTGACAGTCAGAGGGATGGCTCAGAAGTTAAGAACAAGGGAGGCTCTTCCAGAGGACCCTAGCTTTGCTCCCAGGACCCCACAGCAGCTTGCATCTGTCTACAGTTTCAGTTCCAGAGGATCTGACACCACCTTACCTCCTCAGGGAACAGATGCACACACATGTGCAGATACACACATGCAAGTGAAACACTCATACACATAAAATAAAATTTTAAAAAATCTTTTGAAAACTATATAGTTATAAATAGGAGCTGAGTAAAGTAAAATGGAAGCGTCAGCAAAGACAAACCTAAATACAATCATAAAAGATGGAGTGGCTATATTAATACTAGACAAACTTAAGAACAGAATAGGAGGACGTTTCATAATGATAAGAGTTAATTTTCAGGAAGCTAAAGAAATTTTAACATGTATATATTCAGTAACACTGGCAAACACAAAAAGCAACACTTGACAACTGAACAGAGGAATAAACAGCTTCCTGGCTACAGTAGGATTCCCCTCACCTTTTTTGGGATGGGGTGGTGGGATTAACAGACTTGGTTTTGAAAGTGTCACTAGTAGCCCAGACTGCCCCTGCACTCCTGATCTTGTTATTCTTCCTTGCAAAAGCTACTATTACAGTGTCCATAACTACGCTTAGCGGATCACTGAAAATTTCAACACCCAACGTGGTGGCCAGTTTTATATCAACTTGACAAAAACTAGTGTCATTTTGGAAAAGGGAACTTTGGGCAAGCCTGTGGTATATTTATTGATGGATGATTGACATGAGAGGAGAGGATCCAGCTCTTTGTGGTGTCACTCCTGTGTTGGTGTTCCTGGGTGCTACAAGGAAGCAGGCCGAGCAAGCCATGAGGACCCAGCAAGAAAGCACTCCTCTCCAGCTGCTGCCTTAGTGCCTGCCTCTGGGCTCCTTCCTGCAATGGAGCATGAGCTAAGAATTGCAAAGTGAACTAAACCCCTAAACCCTTCCCTTCCCAGTGTTTTTTTTTTTTTTTTAAAGACAAGGTTAAGTAGAATAAAAATTCAAATGGACACAGGAGATTTGAGCAACAAAGATGATAGAGCAAGGTCAGTACAGGAAATAGTTTTAGGGAAAAGTGGTAAAAAGATTTTAAGGTTTTATTTTGTTTTCTTCCAAACTCAAAATAATCTTTGTAATCCAACAAGAAAGTTTAGCTATTTGTGACACTGGACATCTGGATTTGCTTCATTTTGAAATTCCATATCTAGTCTCATAAATTGTATTTATTACACAATATTTCCCAAAGTTTGATTAATGAAATAATTCTGCTTTGGTCAGGATAATACACATAGCACTTGCTCAAGCAAGTCCATTGGGGTGAGAATACACCAAACTTAGATAGGAAGGTAGGATTTCTAACAAGAGCGGACATAAATATTTGTCTGTGAAAAAAAGTATTTCAGTCAGGCAGTGGTGGCACACGCCTTTAATCCCAGTGCTTGGTAGGCAGAGACAGGCGGAGCTCTTTGAGTTCAAGGCCAGCCTGGTCACCAGAGTTCAGGACTTCCAGGTATTTTAGGTTGTTTTTGCAGCTATGGCTCAGACTGACCTCTGACCTCAAATGACAGACTCTCCCGCCTCAGCCTCTCAGCTCTAAGACTACAGGCATGTGCCACAGACTCAATTCTTTTTACACAAATTTTAAAAAGTTACATTCCTACAGTTTATATTCTTTCCAGAGTAAAGTACAAAGAAAAAACTTACAACTTAGACAATTTTGTGGGATCTCTTTTTACTCTGGCTTTAGTAATAGGTACTGTTAGTTCTAAATTAAATTCAGAAAAGAAATTTAAGCCTTCATTTTTGTTATTTAGAGACAAGTTTTCATTGTGTAGCCCAGCCTGGTATTCACTAGTGAGATTAGGATGGGTTCCACCACATCCTAAAGAGTAAAAATCTAAAATAATAATAATAGTAAGAATTTAATTTTTAAAAAATTCCATGTATAATGGAGCGGGCTAGAGGACAACCTGTGCGTGGTGCTTTGTTCCCACCACGTGGTCCCGAGGCTCGGTGGTACAGTACACCTTTACCAGCTGAGACGTTGAGATGGCTCAAAAACACTTCCTTCTAAGTGATTGTCTCTAAGGTCATGTCAAACAGAACTACTGTAACCTGGGGGAAAAAGAAAGCTAAGTTATGCCTGCTGTCTATGGGACAGCTATACAAGTCCAGAAAAGACCTTTTGGTGTCACAACACAAATTAGGTTTTTCATTAGGAGGTATGAATATATTCATACTTCAATAAGTTAAAAATGCTATAATTATAAAATTATGAAATAGTATGTGTATTTCTACTTTAGTTCAAACAAACAAACTTCCATTTTCTAGGTTTTAAAATTTCTGAGTTCTTTGTATGGACACCAGAGCAGGTCATAACTTACTACAATTACACCCCTCCCTTTGGTGTGGAAGGCCATATTCTTACCAAGTTTCATTACACAGAATATGTAACCCTGGAAACCACGGAGAGCTGGAGATACCTTTGTGTTTACTTTTAGGGCTGGCTATCTTTTAAAGAATTATAAATTTAAAATGGTTATATGAGGTAACTAGGAGCTAATTTAGTCAAGCCTCTTTGTATGGTGTGTGTGTGTGTGTATGTGTGAGTGTGTGTGTGAAAGTACTCCTAAGAAGACAAGCTGACAGTCTTACACTCAAGGTGGCTGTCTTAAAACTGATAAAACATTCCTAAAGAGTGGCGTCGCTCCATAACATCTGTGAAGTCAATCATAGCTGAATCTATCATCTACATACAGAACTTAAGTGAGATCCCAAAGGCAAAATTTCCAATTAGTCTGTCTGGAAAACTCAGGGCAAAGGTAATAAAATTGAGTCCTGTGCTGATTCACTGGGAAAGCATGTGTCTCCTCACCGGTTCACTAAAGAACAAAAGGCCAGGGCTGGCCCGGACTCTTCGTCAGGGCTATCTGGGAGATAAGGAAGTGCAAGAGGATGATCAGTGGTTGTCTGGATGACTTGCAGCCTTTTCCTTCTTTTCTGAAGTTCAACTTTTAGGGGCCTTTAGAAGCCCTTTCTACACAGGAACTCTACTCCCCCAAAGTTGAAAACTAGTTATTGCTTTTCTCATCATCATCTATTCATCAGTCAGAAAACAACTTACTTAAAGTTATGATTGCTCTACAGCAAGTAGTTCATGGGTAGAATACAGAACTAATTTCTTTTTGTTTGTTTGTTTGTTTTGAGACAGAGTTTCTCTGTAGCTTTGGAGCCTGTCCTGGAACTAGCTCTTGTAGACCAGGCAGGCCTCGAACTCACAGGGATCCGCCTGCCTCTGCCTCCCGAGTGCTGGGATTAAAGGCATGTGCCACCACCGCCCAGGAACAACTAATTTCAAGTTGATGCCAAAAAGCTGACCTGCTCTTTTTTTCTTTTTAAATTTTATTTGTTGGGGTATTTTGTGTGCATGCATGCTTGTGCCCAGAGAGGTCAGAAGAGGGTTTCAGCTCTCGTGGGACTAGAATTACAGGGGATTGAGAGTCAGCTGCCATGTGGGTGCCGAGCCTCTGGAAGAATAGTTGGTGCTTTTAACCACTGAGTCACCTCTCCAGTCCTCAGACCCATTCTTAGATTCTTTTGGTCAAGTCTCAAGCCAGGCCCCAGGTCTCTATAAAATGCAGTATGGTATCTCTAAACACAATAACCTAGGCATTAGTTAATGTGAATGCCAGGTCTTTACATATGTTAGTAATTTAACAAGGTATAATTAGAATTCTGTCTTATCTTCCTAATATAACAAAATGTTTTAAAAAATGTAACAATGGCTGTGCTACCTAGGACAACAATATATAATTATATTTTAAAAGTATAAGTTCATAGTTGCTAGCTAAAACAAAAGAAGTGTACGCTATAATATTAGCTCATAAACCTTTTGGAAGTCATTTGATTGTAACGGATTAGTACATATAAAGGCAGACTTCATGTAACTCACAACAGCCTCCTCCTTAGCGCAGCTGGCAGCAGGGTCAGTCTCATAAAACCAAGTAACTTAAAACTGGTTTTAAAGATTTACAAATAATTGAATAGCATTAATTATAGTATGATGTTTTAGTATATTTATACATTATATATTGATAAACTCAAGATTTTTAACAGATACCTCACCTCAAATATTTGTCAATAAACCTGAGAGGGCCGACATGGCGACACCCACCTTTAATCCCAGCACTAGAGACCAGCATGGTGAGCTCTAGTTAGAGTTAAATATGAGACCCTTTCTCAAAACAAATAAACAAACAAACAGGCAAAAAACAAGAGAAAGCAACAACAAAAACTTAACTGTTTTGTTTCTCTTGTTGAGGTTTAAGCTAAGGCCCTCTAGCATGCTAGCGACAAGCTAGCGACATGCTGCGACATACTCTGCTGCTGAGCTTCATCCCTCTTCTCAGCAAGTTTTGATCATAAGTTGACTTGAGTATTCAGAATAAATGAACTACATATTTATCAGAGCTATTAAAAAAAAGTCAGTGCAAGTTGTTTAGTAACCTACTCTTTTAAGTACACAATTATAGATAATGGCTTAAGAGCGGGAAGCTATCCAGTCTGCACAAATCCCTATGTCCTAGAGACCTTGGTTTCCGCCTTTGATGTGGTGATGCTACGAGAGTTAATACACGAGTCATTCCTTGGTGAAAGACAGGGAGAAGAGCTATCATGCCCTCGTTCATCAAACAAAGGCAAATAGCATTTTTTTTTTTTTCTAAAAAGGGGCTGCTGATCTTCCAGGAAAAGTTCTGACTCAGAGTGTTCATGATCAGTCACCATACCTATAGAAGTCAGTATTAAGGGACCCCAAAATCAAATGTGGGAAAATTTCTTCCTTATCTGTATTGAAGAATAAGCAGGTGACCAAGCTCTACAGTAATTACGGGAAGCAAAAATGAAAGTGAAGAAGAGAGCTAACGGTTTAGTTTTGAGAGAATCACATGTCAGGGTATTAACAAAAGAGCATTCACTAAATGAAACTACATTCCTACTTGGTTTTACTCCATATCAGTGATTTTTCCCAAATACTGATTTTTAGCAATAAGGAATCAAGAGTCACAGGATGGTGGTGACACACGCCTTTAATTCCAGCACTTGGGAGGCTGAGACAGGCAGATCTTTGTGAGTTTGAGGCCAGTCTGGTCTACAAGAGCTAGTTCCAGGACAGGCTCTGAAGCTACAGAGAAACCCTGATTTGAACACCCTGCCTACCCAAAAGGAATTAAGAGTCAAAAGGCTCCAGAAACATCTGTACCTAAGGAAACACAGCTTTAAAGGAGTCAAGGCTACTGGTAGGCACTGCCACTGAAGGAAATACAGAGCCATTCACAGCGATGTCTATCCATGAGAAAACAACAGGCCAGACTTCTAAAAGGTACAATTTCTGCCCCATTTTAAAATAAAACTGCTTAAACTTAAACATAAACAGGCTTCTGGCAGCAAATCTTTCGCATCTTTTTAAATTTAATTTCTACCAGAGTTATAGGTTTTTGTTGAAATGATGATATTAAGAATATGTCTCTTAAGTAGACCTTTTCAAAGGACAGCACCTTTTGGTTATTATTTCTAATAAAAGTTGGGTCAATTTTATAATATACCCCAGTTGTTCCAAACTTTCCTCCTTCCACACTGCGTTTAGAGGGAGAATGCTAATGCTTCTGGCAGATAGAATTTTTCCTACTTCGATCTCCAAATGTTAAAATAAAAGCCAGAAGTGAATTATGTTAAAGAGCACTTGTCTGTAAAGCTAGCGTCTCCTTAGAGAAGGATCCATGTCTTACAGACAGTGTGTGGAACTGGGCTGTGTAAAGTCTTTCTGCAGGAAACTGTGCCACCTAGTGTCAAAAACTGTCCATACATCACACAAGATAAGATTAAATTTTAGCCAGTGGAATTATTTCTTTTTGCTGTTGTTGAGATAGGGGCTCATGTAGGTTAGTGAACTCTAGGACTTCTCATGTAGCTGGGGGCCTTCAATGTGCTGAGATTACAGTCATGTGCCACCATACTCAGTTTTCTTATTTAAGTGTAAGACTTTATAAATCCTTAACAGCGCACAATAGACTACATAACCACCTTCTTGTCTGATAATTTAATTAATATAATTTCCCTATATATGAAAGAGTGTGTTTGAGATACATTAGCTTAAAAGAGTGGCTGGACTGGACAAAAGAAATTCTAAGGAAATAAGTCAGATTACTGGAACTTAAACTGCTTTTCACATGTGAGCTTTTAGAATTTAAAAGTTGGGCACTTCTCTCTGAATTTTCTATTTTTCCCCCACTTGCCAGGACAGGGTTTCTCTGTGTAGTCCTGGCTGGCCTTGAACTCAGTGACTTGTCCGCCTCTGCCTCCAAGGTGCCAGGATTAAAGGCACGCACTATTACTCAGCATGCATTTATTTTTATTTTTAGAGACAAAGATTCATTAAGCAGCCAAAGCAGTTAAGAATAGCTAAGGGCTGAGAGCTGGAGAGATGGTTCAGTGGTTAAGAACACTGGCTGCTCTTCCAGAGGACCCAGGTTCAGTTCCTGGTACCCATGCGGCAGCTCACAACTGTCTGCAACTCCAGTTCCAGGGATCTGCTGCCGTTACACAAACATGAAGGCAAAATACCATGCACATAAAATAAAACAAATATTAAAAAGAGAATAGGTAAGGGTGGACTATGGATGTAGTCAGTAGTAGATCACTTGGCAACCATGTTTAAGGCCACTGGTTTGACCCCTAGTACTTCGAAGGCAAAAAAACTGCTAGCACAAAGATTGAAAATGATTGAGAAGCCAGAGATTGCTTAGTGTTGGCAAAAGCACCTGTTGCACAAGCATGAAAACTTGAGTTTGGTTCACCGAATCCGTGTAAAAAGCCAAAGACAGCGGTGTGCATTTATAATCCAAGCACCCTGGTGAATAGGAGGTGAAGGTGGAGAAAGAAGAATTTGCTGGAAGCTCAAGTATGCAGCAAAGCCATAGAAACAACAAAACCCTGCCTCATAGCCAGGCTGTGGTGGCACACACCTTTAGTCCTAGTACTTGGAAAGCAGAAGAGAACAAGAGTAATAATAAAAACAAAAATATAAAAAAAAAACCCTGCCTCAAAATAAGGTGAAATGAGAGAACTGACTGCTGAAAAGTTGTCCTCTGACCTTTGCACACACACCGTGACATGCAAAACCCTCAGCGGTCTCCGACATTTCTCTTTCTTATACTCTCTCCTTAAAAATCAAAAGCCAAAACCCTGCAGCATAATGATATTAATTAACATAGCTGCAATACTTTTTTATTGACTAGATATCATGCTGGAAAAGAAACGTGTCATTTAACCCTCAAAACCATCATATGAGACAAGCACCATCACTATTGGAGTAGACATTCCGACGTAGCAATTTGCCTGTTTTTCTCATAATCAGAACTTCTGCATACTCTTGACTATTAATGGATGGAAATTCAAGGGATGTGGTATACACCTATAATCCCAGTATTTGGGAAGCTGTGATAGGAAGGATGCCGTGAGTTCAAGACCAGCCCAGGATATATATATCTATATATCTATATACACATCTATAGATATATAGATATAGCTGTGGGAACTAATTCATATGTATAAATATGCAAGTCAATGGGGAAAAAGGCTAACTGTAAATTACTATGTTGAGGACTGTGGAAAACTAGTAGGAAAAATTAACACTTTTAACTCTCATGCATTCACTGATCCTTTAAAAAGCTGTTTAGATTTATTCTGTATGTATTCGTGTCTTGCTTGCATGCATGTCTATAACATGTGCTTGCCCAGTAGTCAGGCCAGAAGAGGCACTGGGTTCCCTGGAATTAGCGTTACACACAGCCCCATCCACTAGTCTTATGTAAGCAAAATGTATAGACATGAATACAGAAAAACAACAAATCATGTCTCTGAGCTAAGAGAGTCACTTGATGGCTTGGGCTTTGGGTAAAGTTGCTCTATTGGCAAATATATAATGTATGACTGTGTTAGTGACGCCACCTAATGGCGACCATATAGATGCACTCAGACAAAAAAATTCTAGAAGAATGGCTTTCTTCTCTTTTTAAAAAGATCTTAAGGTTTATTTTATTTTATATGGATAGATGCTTTTCGTGTGTCTGAGAGACTGACGCCTGTGGAAGCCAGCAGAGGGCAGTATACTCCCTGGAACGGGAATTATGGATGACTGTGAGCTACCATGTAACCCAGGCCCTCTGCAAGTGCACAAGTGTTCCTAACTGCTGCGCCATTTCCCCAGGCCCCTCGAAGAATGATTTCAAAACACTTATGGATGACAGTCTTTGGAGCCATGTGACGACTGTAGGCTTTTCTCACCAGGAAAAGAAAAACAAAACAAAACAAAACAAAAGCTTATTCTTCTAGACACACAAAGTACAGTGTTTAGGAAATTAGTAAGCTGATTCACTGATGATTAAAATAAAGAGAACGAGCGACCTAACCTAGTGTTCCTACAAACCACGGAGCCACTTTGAGGATATGCATTTGCTTTCCCTTAATGACCCTTAGTTTTGTAACCACTTAAACAGCAACAATGCTTTAAGAATGATGAGGGTTCCAATACACCCCAATTTCAAGTAAAAACCTTTCAATTAAAATTAAAAATAAGGAAATCATTCATTAACTGAAAAACATGACTTTTAGTCTTTTAAGTGACCATTTAGTATAAATTCGATCATAATTAACAAAGTATAACCCTCAAAAGATAACTTTCACTGTGGAAAACAGTGGATATGAAGTACATAGCATTTTCATATTACTTTCAAGCCATGACCTTTAATAGATGGGATTATGATAAAGAATGAATTTAATATTTAGTCTTTAAAATTGGATTCTTAATCGCTTATTTTACTACAAAGTCTGCACAGAGGCTACTTTCCTACCACGGTTGCTTGGCCTCTAGACTAAGGGTTTTATGAGTGTAAGATGGAGGAGTCTACTTCACCAGCACTAGAGTAGGACACACAACAGCAACGTCATCACTTCGAAGTGAGGGCTCCCGAAAGGGCTTGTAAAAGAAAGATATGTAATCAGGACCTTCCCAAACACAATTAAATTCCATACATAGAATAAAATAAATAGGCCCAGCACAGTGGTGTCTGTCTTTGAGGTGGAGGCAGGATAATTTCTATGGGTTCAAGGTCAGCCTAGTCTACGCCTGAGTTCCAGGACAGTCAGGGCTACACAGTTAAACCCTATCTCCAAAAACAAAAAGAAAAAACCAAACAACAACAACAACAAACAACAAACAAACAAACAAACAAAAAACCAAAAGCCAACCAAACAACAAATGGAGATTCTTTCTTTTTTCTTTTGTACTTTTGAGACAATTTCTCTGGAGCCTGTTCTGGAACTAGCTCTTGTAGACCAGGCTGGCCTCAAACTCACAGACATCCGCCTGCCTCTGCCTCCTTAGTGTTGGGATTAAAGGCAAGTGACACCACTGCCCGGCTCAAATGGAGATTCTTAAATGTAGAAGGCTCAGAGGTCCTTGTGCTCACAGACAAGCACTAAAGAAACTAGGAATGTTAAACAAGCAGACAAAGATTATAACCTGTTTTCAGAGTAGAGGTGGTTAACAGTCTGGTGACCTTTGCACTGTGTGGCCCAGGCCACACCAGATCCTCCCCCAGACCCTTATCATAAGATTATTTTCCCCAATCACTCTACAGCACCTATCTTTATGGAAGATGTCACATGTACTTTACATAATTTCAACATGGGATTGAGATAATTATCACCAGGAATACTATTTCAACAATTGTGCTGTGCTTAAATATGCCTGAAAGAAGTTTGAATGAACACCAGCTACTAAATTGTGCTAAACAAAACATCTCATGTGCATGGACACTATTGGCCATGGTGGTCACAGAGACCCCCTGCAATTAAGGATAAGTCTGTTATGACTCAGAAAGGAAATAGCAAATTAAAAAATCTGCCAAGCGGTGGTGAGTTCCACAACAGCCAAGGCTACAAAAGACGCTTTGTCTTGAAAACCAACCACCCAAACAAACCAAATTTGATAAAACTAGGGGCTGGGGAGATGGCTCAGCGGTTAAGAGCAAGTGTTGCTCTTGCAGAGGTCCCAGGTTCAGTTCTTAACTGATTGCTCACAATCATGTGTAACTCAGTTCCTCCACAGGCACCAGACAACCATGATGAAGATACACACGCAGCCAAAGCACTAATATACATTAAAAATTAAAGCTGAGGAAACTCTAACCACATTCCATTAAACAGGCACACTGATCGAGGGTAGAAGTGCTGAAAACAAAGATTTTACTTTTCCTTTACATTAATTCTGAAGTAAACTTCATGGTTACCTTTTTTTTTTTTTTAAAACCTGGAGGGACAGCCGTGGGTGCTGGGAACCAAACTAATATATTTTTGGTTATGAGCCTAGCCTTTAACGGCTGACCATCCTTCAGGCCATTGTTACTTTTTATTATTATTATGTGGGTCTGTGTGAATGGGTATGTGTGTGTTATCGCACATGTGTGGAGGTCAGAGAGTAACTTGAGGGAAGGGTCAGTTCTCTCCCTCAACCATCTGGGTCTCAGTGAAGAACTCAGGTTTTCAGGCTTGAACTGAGCCATCTGGGTGGCTTTGTATGCTTGTATGTTTCTAGATCTTTTCCTGAGTACCTAGATCAGAGGAGAAATAATAATGCCCTCATATAAAAACATTTTACAATTTATTCATGTTTTTAATGCATATACAATAAGAAATAAATTTCATTGCTTCAAATTTACTTTTTAAATAAAATCTAGGCAGCTGGGTATGGTGGTGCACACCTTTAATCCCAGCAGAGACAGATGAAGGCAGATCTCTTTGAGTTTGAGGCCAGTCTGGTCTACAGAGTGAGTTCCAGGGCTACACAGAAAAACCCTGTCTGGAAAAACAAAGAAACAAAGAAATGGGTATGTCTTTGGAGGGTGTGTGTGCATGACTGCTATGGTGCCCATGCAGAGATCAGATGAAAAAGTCAGGTATTGATCCTCAAATTTCACGTTGCTTGAGACAAAGTCTATTATTTTCTGATACACACTAGCTGGCCTATGAACTTCTGTGAATTCTCCTGCCTATTGTCCCACAGAAACACCGAGATCACAATACTACCCCATCTAGCTTTTCATGCAGTCTGGGGATTCAAACTCGGGTCTTTACCCACTGAATTATCTCCCCAAATTTATATTAAAATAACAATTGTATAGGTGAAATAACTATTACTTCAAAATCAAAAACTGAAAGTTCTCTGGTTGAACTAATTTTAGCAAACAATCATATCTGCTTAACTGTTTCCCCCTTTTCTCTTTTAATTTTTCAGCTCCAAAGGAGCCGCAGAGCAAGACAAGCAGCTGAATTTCAGGCACTGGTTTTAGGATCACAACATTTACCAAACACTGAAGCAATTAAACACAGATTTTAGGGCTGCAGCTTCTGAAGAAAAAGCACCAATAAAGACAGAAGAATCTCCTTTGTTCTGATTCATTGACAGAAAGTCATTCTTACCAGATAAAGCAGAAAGGTGTGCAATCCTGTTCCAAGCCCAACCGAGGACAGAATTCCCAAGCCTATCCAGTAGGCATACAACAGAAACTGCTTCTCTATCCGCTGCACATACTGGAAAGAAAAGGGAAAGGAGATAAACCTGAACACTCTGTCCAGAAACACGCTACAGTAACCACCACCCACTGACCAGTCAGCTCAACAAAGCTCGGAGGAGGTAGAAAAACATTAAGACAAAAAATTCGTTGACGAGGTCTCATACTGTTAGTGTACTATAGCAGAGAGGACACAAATCAAAACACCCCCAAAACCAAACGAAAACAAAACCCCAACTCATTCAGGCAGAGTAAGTTAGCATAAGTGAAAATCAAAAAACAAACTATATATTAAAGTAATTTTTTTTTTTGTCATTTCTTGAGACAGGATCTCATACTGTAGTCCAGCCTGGCCTGGCATTTTTTTATGTATACCAGGCTAACCTTGAACTTCAGTTGATCCTCCTACTTTTACTTGCTGAATGGTGTGATTATACATATACGCTATCATGCCCAGTCTAGTATACTGGTGCTAAGAATAAATACTTTAAAGTGACTTAAAAATTACAAACTTTAAGAAAAACATAAGACAGTGTTAAAGGAACAGTTATACAATATTTGTGAAGAGAAAACTTTAGGAATACACAAAACACAATGGTAAAGAAAAGGGGTGGGCTGGAGAGATGGCTCAGAGGTTAAGAGCACTGGCTGTTCTAGAGGTCATGAGTTCAATTCCCATCAACTACATGGTGGCTCACAACCATTTATAATGAGATTTGGTGCCCTCTTCTGTCATGCAGGCAGAACACCATGTACATAATAAACAAATAAATCTTTTTTTAAAAAAAAAAAAGAAAGAAAAAAAGCAAGCAAGCAAACAAGCAAGCAAGAAAGAAGGCAATGAGCTAAGTGTGGCGGTGCACGCCTTTAATCCCAGTGTTCGGGAGGCAGAGGCAGGGACATCTCTATGAGTTTCAGGCCAGCCTAGTCTACATAGTGAGTTCCAGCCAGGAAGGGCTATGTAGAAATCCTGTCTCAAAATACGGGCGGTGGAGTGTGTGGAGTGGGAAAAATCACACATTTTGTAAATAGAATACATTCTTCATCATTCAAGCAAATTTTTAACACCAGGTTTTTAAAATGTTTCAAATATGGGCAAAAATAAAGCACAGTGTAAGAAAGATACCTTGAAAGAGTTGATTTATTTCTAGACAAATTTCTAAATGTAAGTTAAAAAAAAAAGTCAGGGAGCTGATTACAAAGTGTTTTGTCTCCTTGGCTTGCTTGTTTGTTTATTTATTTATTTAAGAGGCAGAATTTCATCATGTATCCCTGGCTAGCCTGGCACTCTGTAAAATGGGCTAGCTTCAAACTCATGGTGATTTTCCTGTCTCTGTTGGACTTAGTGGCATGTTCCACCATGGTTAGCGTGACTGCAAATTCTTATTAACATATAAAGATTATCTACAGGAAATGCATTCAAAACTATAATAATAAAAAATACCTTTCCTGACATTAAAAGTAAATTAGTGGCACACACCTCTATTCCTAACACTTGGGAGGCAGAGGCAGGCGAATCTCAGTGAGTTAGTTCGACGCCAGCTTGGTCTACAAAGCAAGTTTCAGAACAGCCAGGGCTACATAGAGAAACCAACCAACCAAACAAAAAATTACTTTAAAATGATAGCTTTTTAGAAACGTTTCCATTAGAATAGATTAACATTTTGCCATTTTAATGAAAGGTGCTAACAAAATGTTAATCTGTTATTTTCCCATCAGTGCATGACTATAGACTACAGGGAAATGAAATGACCTTCCATAGAAATAAAATCTAACTCTCAATCCAGGATGCAATCTGTTGGCTGGATCATTATAGACATTATAGACATTATGAAGGTTTTGTGAGAGATGAAAGGATTCGTAAAGTTAGCATTCATACTGTTTTGACTGAATACTTTAAATCTTTTAAGGTAAAGAGGAAACCTAAATATTGAAATAATGTTGAACAGGTATGAAACAGTGCTCAGGTATTTTTAGTGTATGGAATAAGACATTAAGATACCAAGTCATCAGATAAAATTAAAGACACAAAAGTTTACTTATAAGTATATAGGGCATAAATTCTATGAAACTTACATTAGTCCCACTTTGAAATGTCATGTGATCACAGAATGCCGAGGAGCAGAGAATTACTCAGTGTCTTACCTGTTGATGGGCTCCTTCCACATAATACGTAGCTATAAGCATAGCAAGCAGCAGTAAAAAAGTCAACACAATGCTTTGACGATGCCATAACCTTAAAAACAAATAAAAACATCTCACATTAATCTTGCAATTTGCAGAAACAGCCTTTGGGATGTAAAAAGGAACCAGCAAAGGTACATGGGCCCAGAACCCGAGTTATCACCGTCTTACCACAGCCCTCCCTGTGCCCAAAGCCTGCTCTTGCTCATATCTCATGTTTTAATGTAGAGAGGTATTATAGTGCAACAGGAAGAACATGGGCTTCACGGGCTTTAAAGCCCGTGGGCTGGTTTGGCCACTTAGTGCTGCATTTTTAGCAGGACACTTAACCTTTCAGATTTTGGTTTTTGCTTTTAAAATAGTAATAATTATATATTTGCTTTTCCTTCTTCATGGACCTCCTACAGGATTAAATGAGCTGAAAATTGTTACAAAATGTTTTATAACTTTTAAGGACAACAAAAATGTAAGATAAGGGCTGGAGAGATGGCTCAGTGGTTAAGAGCATTGCCTGCTCTTCCTAAGGTCCTGAGTTCAATTCCCAGCAACCACATGGTGGCTCACAACCATCTGTAATGAGGTCTGGTGCCCTTTTCTAGCCTGCAGACATACACACAGACAGAATATTGTATACATAATAAATAAATAAATAAATATATTTTTTTAAAAAGATGTAAGATAATAGTATAGATAATTTAGAAGAACAAGAAAATAGTAGGGAGGCTGGAGAGATGGCTCAGTGGTTAAGAGCACTGTTGCTCTTCCAGAGAACCCAGGTTCAGTTCTCAACAACCAACTAACTCTCTCTAACTCCAGTTCAAGGGATCTGACACCCGCACACAGACATACAAGCAGGCAAAACATTAACGCACATGAAATGAAATAAATAAATAATTTAGAAAAAAAGAAAATAATAGGGTATGAAAGTTCAACTTGCTTTCTTAGATATTTCAAACAGGCAGGACACACTGCATGGCAGGGTTCTTTTTCACTGACTGTCAGTGAGCACCACATGCATCTTGAACCTGCTGCAGGCTTAGTGTATCTGCTGCATATAAGCCTCATTCCATTTCAAGATAAAAATCAGGAGAAAAAACCCACTATCTTCTTAATCTTTTCCCTTGGAAGACCCAAAGTGAAACAGGAGTCAACTGTAATAACCTGTCAAGTAAATAACGTTTCCTCCGTCATTTTTCTTCAAACCAAACACCCCAACCTATTGCTCTCCCTTTGGGGAAAGGGAGATAGTGGGGTGACAGTCTTTATCTAACCCAGGCTGATCTTGAACTATATAACAAAGGATGACCTTGAAAATTGGTGTGCTTGGTGTTGGCTTTGCATGAGAGACAAGGCCTCTTAATGAGCTACATCCCCATCCCCCTAGTCGAATTCTTTTTAAACTATATGAAGGAAAACACATGTTCCTACGATAATATTCTAAATTTAATGAATCCATTTTGGTGAAACAGATGGCAGGGAGTAGGAGATGGCTGAGGACTTCTAAAATTAGTAAATACGATTTATATAAAAAGTAACAGAAAACTCTTTACTTTGAGGTCCATTCCTTCAAAACTATAAGAGTTTCCAGAGAAAAATACTGCAAGGTAGTGAGTGGCTGTCTCCACAGGACAATGTTCTGTCTTTCCTCCCGATCCCTTCTCTTCTTTTCATGTACTGAAGAGGGGTCTGAAAAACAACAGCATGGACGTTAAAACACAATTCCTACCATCTGTGCCACATTTTCAAAGAATAAAAATAACACACCTTCCCATCTTATATCTCTAAGACTACATAAGAAAAATCTCAAAATAGAAAGGAGGTTTAACATTGAGACTGGGCAAAATGAAAGGGTCCAAAGTACTAATCTGAGAGGAACAAAATTACAACAAGTATCTAAATCTCTAACAAGAAGCCAAGGACTGTAGTACATACTGAATCCGCAACGGCTTCTCACATGTCTGTCCATGCCTACCTCTTTCCATCAGTGGCAACTTTGCAATGTATTCTTCTTAGCTATCATGGAGAGGGACAGCACAATGCGTGGATGGATGAGAAAAGTTTCACCCATGTCCCAGGTAACCACTCACAGCAAGTCCTAGGGTCCCGAGACATGGCAACTGGTCCAAACTCATGAACTAACTGCCATGGTTGCCACTCATGTTTAGTACGGAGAACCAAATCCAGGACTTCACACATCCTGCGTATGCCCCTCTACCACTGAACTATATTACTGTCCCCAGGGCTGTTATTTTTCCCATCACTGTTACTTAGGTAACAACAACAAACACTGCAAATACAAAACAAAACATACAGTCCTATTCGTAGCCAGATGAGCTGTGGTGCTCATCTTTCATCCAGACACTTGGTAGGCAGAGGCAGGTGGATCTGTGAGTTTGAGACCAGTCTGGTCCACAAAGTGAGTTCTAGGACAGTCATGGCTACACAGAGAAATCCTGACATCTTGTCCCCCAAAAGCAAACAAACAGAAAAATAAAAATACCCAACCAACCAAAAACTCTTATGTACCCTCCTCTCCCCCACCCCCTAAAAAAACCAAGAATCCAGCAGAATGAAACATGTAGGCTAGGTATTTCTGCTGCAATATGTCTGTCTGTTTTGAGACAGGGTTTCACTATATAGCCCTGCTGTCCTAGAATTCACTATGTAGACCAGGGTGGCCTCAGAACTCACAGATATACATCTGCCTCTGCCTCCTGAGTGCTGGAATTAATGGCCTGTGGCATCTCCAATGTAAAGACAAACTACTTGGTCAGTGAAAGGATTCAGTGAGGAAATTTATGGAAAGCCCCAGAAGAATGACAGTCACCAAATACCCAGGCAGTTTGCTATTACCGCTACCGTAGATTCCTTACCTGGGAAACTCCCATTATGTTGCTCCTTACTCATTGCTACACGTCTCTGGTCACAATTTTTTCCATTCTCTGCCATTTCATAGATCAGTAACTCTGGAGGAGCTAATACAGAAAATAAATCCCAGTAATGCATTAGAGTTGTTTGCTTTGCAGCTGAGACTAAAACTGAATACAGGAGCAAAATGGCGTACATCCCACATGGTAACTGTATGATGTGTTCACACTACTATTTCCTTTTATAACCAAGAGTTGTATAAATAATTTATATAATTTCATAGAAAATCTTGTGGCTGTAAACATTTTCTAAATAGTTATTCCAGTGATTTGTTTTCCAGAATAAAATTTGGGTGCCTGGATGTGGTGGCACATGCCTTTAATCTCAGCACTTGGGAGGCAGAAACAGGTGGATCTCTGTGAGTTCGAAGACGCCCTGGTCTACAGAGTGAGTTCCAGGACAGTCAGAACTGTTACACAGAGAAACCCTCTTTCAAAAAACCAAAAATAAATAAATAAATTCACTGTAGTCACACAAATATCACAGGTCCAAGACCACAGGTCAGCTTTATGTAGAAAACACTGATTCAAATGGGAATGTGCACAGAAGATAAAATTTTCATGTTTAAAATATATTAGAAGTTCAAAGCCAATATGGGCTACATGAAAGCCTATCTCAAAGTGGGGGGTACATATCCAAATAATGTAATTTATTCACTCATAAGAGATAAAGTAGAAGCCACGCTTCATACACACACACACAAACACATGCACACAGAAAGGAGGGCACAAAAGAGCTGACATTATGAAGCAAACTTTCTACCCACCTACACAATCATACTGCTAACTGAACTCATTTCCCCTATTTATCCTTTCCCTTAGTGTCATCTTGAATGGACAAAACAGCTTGGGTCCATTTGTAACAGAATTTTTTATTTAAGCAAATAATCTGTTCTTACACAATATGCTAAAAATATCATATTGACATTTCTTTCTCAAAAATGCTCTCTATCAAACTTAAAATCTGAAATTTTATTTGTTAGAAATAACTGAGAGAAAACAGTTTTTTGTTTAGTTGGTGTGGTGTATTTCTTCACAAACAAAAAAATTCAGTTTTAAAAATAAGTTTCTAAAAATGTTTATTATTTCCAAAAGAAGAAATTACAACCTAAAAGCAATAAACTAAGAAAGAAGGGTTTGCACATCAGGTTATCAAAGCATCAGAAGCTCTCGGGTGTTAAGTTCAGTGATAACACGCAATGCAAGACCTTGGGTTTGCTAGCCAGTGCCACAAGTAAACCAGACAAACACCCTTTTGCATTTTGACCATTTAGGAGAGGCTAGCTGTGGTGATACACACCCGTAATCCCAACAACTGGTGACTGAAGCAGTAGAATGAAGACAGTCCCCACTGTCTTCCACATACCTAGATCTTGTCTCAACAGAAATTAATTCCTAATTTAAAGCATATTTTCTTTTGTCACAAAACTGTAGGACTAACTCTGCAAAGCTTCCATTTTCCTGGAATTAATTCTGCATTTTGAGATGTGTCTGAACAACTGAGCACAGCTAGAAAAATAAAAAACAACAGTACAGCCACTTTAAATTCACTGACTCAATGAAGATCTATCAAGTGTTCATTGGCTGCCAGTTATCATCTTAGATGCCAAACCTCAAACTTTAATTGATATTCACCCATTTTCCCAGCTATCAACGGAGTTTCATTTTTTTGGCGCTACTGGGGATGATCTTGGGACACCATGCATGTAAGCAGCTATTCCAGTGAGCCGCAGTCTCAGTCCCGGAGAGCCTTCAGTCCTATTAAGACACACTCCCACACAGGAACAGACCCTGTCAGCAAACACACATCCACACTAACTCTCTTTCACATTTCCAGGGACTTAGCTCACTTAGCTCATTCGGTTCTCTCTGTGCCGTCAATCTGGGCTTCTTTATTCTCTCTGGCAGATAAACATCATCCAGTACTCCGCATTCCCGTCCTTCACAGACACTGTTCTCCACAGCTGCATGCAGACAGTCTACACACACACTTCCTCAGCAGCACTGCGGGGAGCCTTCTGATTCCACGGATCAGGGAATCAGGAAATGTCTTTCATCAAGAGCACTAATGAATGACCTCCGTGCTGGCAAATGCAAGAACACACACCTTACTGAGCCTCTTACCTAGCTGGGTGCAGGTGAAGGGTCAGGTCTCTTTCCTACTCCTCTGGCTACTGACAGCTCCTTCTGCTTCTACTTCTTGAAGTTATTCAAAGCCTGGTCCTAGGTTCCTTTTTGTGTTCTCTTCACACTCTCTCCCTAATGATGTCATCTAGTCACTCAGCCTTAAATACCCTCTATATAGTGACAATTCTTTCTCTCTCAAAAGCATAATGTTCCACATGACAGTGCCTTATGAATATTCTGTAAGAATAATCAGATCACAGAAGGATCCCACAAAGTATTCAAGCCCAGACCACTCCTGTGATGCACACACAGGCAAGCAGAAGTAAACTGACTCAGATAATGTCACAGAACAAGTCACAACAAATCCAAAAGCAGCACCCAGACACAACTGGCTTTACAGTACAGAGTGTGCTGACTTGTTGGCAACACACGTTTCTTTCCCCAAACTAAATACAGATTATTTCTTAAAGACTTTTGAAAGAAACAATCTCAATTTACATATTTCTTTTGTAATATTAGAAAATTGAGCCAAACTCAGGTGGTGGCGGCGCATGCCTTTAATCCCAACATTTGGGAGGCAGAGGCACTTGAACCTCTGGGAGTTCAAGGCCAGCCTGGTCTACAGAGCAAGTTCTAGGACACCCAAGACCACACAAAGAAGCCCTGTCTTGACAAACAAATAGTCAAGAAAAAAAACATTGGTATTGTGATTTGTAAGGCTGGTTGGGATAATTCTAATTCTTAGTCTACTAGGCTGTATGTTTACTCACTCAAATTTCTAAACTACATAGCTGAGGCTCAGCCCCTGAACCATGGCATCATATCAAGTTCCAGATGCCCTGAGAGGACATTAAGCAGCTACCTACCTTTTACCTGAGAAATACACTCTGTCCTTGCTTCCTGTGTTTCTAGCTGCAGGTGGTTACCCAATACAGCATTAGCACACCCTATTAATCTCACTCATTATCATATTACTTGTTAGAGTGAAGGGCAATTTGTCCTTGAAAGTTACCAATACGTCCTGATTGAGTTGATGCCATCAGGACAAGGATCATTTGGATTACATATCCCATGCCCACTCCCTAAGACAGAGTTTACTTATTCCCTACCCCAATTCTGCTTTCCTTCTCAGCTCAAAATTGTTTAATTTTTTTACAGCTGTAAAAGAAAAAAAATTATCATCTCCACTTAAGTCTCCCTCTTCTAATTTTTTTTTCTTTAATTAAAAAAGATTGTAGGTGTATGGATCTTTTGCCTGCATGTATGTCTGTACTTCACCTGTGTGGAGTGCCTACGGAGGCCGGAACCAGAGTTACAAACGGCTGTGAGCCACTATGTGTTCTGCAAGAGCGGCTGGTGCTCTCAACTGCTGACTCATCTAGCTCTTAGTTTCTCTCTTTCAATGTTTCTTTAGGTAATTTAATCTTTTGCATTTGAGCATAATTGGATAACACCCCCATCTTAATTTTCATTTCATTCTTAAATGTTTTTCTTTTGCCTTCGGGGATTGTCATTAGTTTAGTTTTTCTATCTCAAGAGGAAGTATATAGATGTAGGCATCCTGATTTACTTGCAATCCCAGTATTTGAAAAGCTGTGGCAGTGGGATTGCCATGAGATTCACAATGAATTCTAGGCCAGTATGTACCACAGTATGAGATCCTATCTCAACGAAACAAAACAAGACAAAACACATGATGACACAAACTTGTAACCCTAGCACTCAGGAGGCAAAGCCTGGGTGATTCTCACAAGTTTCAGGCAGGCGAGGGCCAGAGCCCACACTAGAACCCATCACACACACAAACCAAAACCCAAAAACAAACAAAACCAATCAAATCATACAGGGAGATTACATTTAAGTGGCTAGCACTACTTCTCCATGCCCCCCCCCTTTTTTTCATGTGTATTACCAGGAGGTGGTGACACACACCTTTAATCCTAGCACTTGGGAGACAGAGGCAGCTAGAGGCAGGCAGATGAGTTCAAGGCCAGTCTGGCCTACAGAATTCCGGGACAACTAGGGCTACACTAAGAAACCCTGTCTTGAAGCCCCACACCCACTACCCAAAAAAGTTATTGGAGGGTAAAAGTCTAAAGTTGAATGCTGGAGAGATAGCCCAGTAGTTAAGAGCACTGGCTGCTCTTCCAAAGGATCCGGGGTTCTGTTTCTAGCACCTATACATCAGCTCACAACTGCCTATAACTTCAGTTCTAGAGGATCCAATGCCCTCTTTCCGATTCCACGGACACTAAGCCCACATGGTTCACAAACATACATGCAGGCAAACACCCACACAGATCAAAAAATAAGCCAAGGGTGGTGGTGCACACCTTTAATCCCAGTATTCAGGAGGCAGAGGCAGAGGCAGGCAGATCTCTGAGTTTGAGGCCAGCCTGGTCTACAGAGTGAGTTTCAGGACAGCAGGGACACACAGAGAAACCCTGCCATGAAAAACAAAAAGAACACAACAAAAAAATCTAAAAGAAGCCCATATAAGTAGGATAAGATGAAATAATAAGCTGCTTTCCACAATTCAATGCAGTAGGATCAATTTCAGCCACGTACCATGAAATACTGTCAAGTTCATGAATATGGAAGTAAATCCCAAGTATTCTTGTTCTGTTTAAAAGATGGAAATGTCCTCAACCTAGAACCTAGCACAAATTCTCGACCTTTAGTGGAGCCTACTTTGCAGTGAGGGTGCACAGTATAAGTTAGTCTTGCTTATAAGAGTGAGGCTGCTAAAATAAACCTATATTTCTTACAATAATGCAATTTTTCGATTAGGTCAAAAGGCAGAAGTAGAACAGAAGCATAACCCAGAACAAACAACATTTCAGACATGAGAAATGCCTTAAAAGGCTGTGTTTGAAATAAAGGTTAGTACTGAAATTTGTGCTGTTTTGTTTGTTTCTGGC